GAAGAGATTTAAGATGTTTCCGAAGTTGAGTGACCGTAAACACAAACAGAGAGACACGACTTCCACTCTTAATTTGAGCTTCCTATCCTTTCCCCATGTTTCTCGAATAGATAAATTAAAGCCACAATGATGATACGAAAAAAATAACGACAGTGAGCGTAATAATAGAAATCAAGAACAGAGAAATTTGCAACTAAACCATACCACACACTTTGTAAAATAACACCTGAGGTATTCAAACGCCAGTGGCCACTCTTTCGCTTTCAGTGAACAGTATAATAAAAGATTCTCAAAAGTCTCCATAGTCCTGAAGAAGCATACAGCCATAAAGAGAAGATAGTACAAAGTGTAAGAATAACAGTAAGATATAGAATAAATGTGGAGTAAGATACGGAAAAGTAAAAGACATCACAACAGTGGATGTGTCATAAATATAATATTAAGTAACATCAAGATACGAAATATAAGTACTTACTTCCGTGTCTTGTAGACTACAGGTTGTAGATATGCATAGCAGCAAATATGAAGAGCATCAAGAAAGCGATCCTGATTGAGAAAGATCTCCAAAAGCTTGAAACAATAGTCGTGAATCTGAAACTTTAAGTGCTATTCGTACACAATAAAAGAAAATTACCAACAACAGACGAAGGAATTAGGCTCAGTAATCGTCTCTTCACAACATGAAGTTACTATAACGTAACCTGAATGCTAGTTAGTCCTGTAAGACTCCTCTCTTCAGCGAGTGCTAAGTTACCAAGACGCTTTACGTATTTCTCCAACTGAGAGCCATGTAAAACATTCAGCGCAACAGTTCTCACGCAGTTGCTAATAACTGGAATATTGAAAGACTAAAACTTATTTGTTTTATAGTATTTCAGAAACAAGAAAAGTAGTTTAAAAAATTACGAGGCTCGCTCGACCGCTTCTTTACGGAAGTAGAATTTCGGTGAACTAGAAAAAAATGAGGAGCCAATAGCATACGAACACATCGTACAAATTGATTTGTACGTTTCTCAGACAACAAAAAATCTGCCTGACGTACCAACAAACGTTCATCCTGCAAACAATTAAGTCAGCAGAAACGAAAAAATTCTAAACTTTGACAGCGTTTATAATTTGAACAAATTCAGTTCTGACTGGAATACTGCTGCCAGCGTCCAGATCGTAGTCCCTTAGTGTTTCAAACGCTTGTTCAGTTAAACCCAAACGTTGCTGAATTCTAGATAGTTTAATTCGCGCATCGACGTGGGATGGTTGCAAATCTAAGACTCGCTGAAGTGCGACTGCAGCATCTTTGAGCTTCTTTCTTGACTATAAAAGTAACTTCTCTTGGATTAAGTTCTAATAGGAAATTGATAACCTCGATTAAAATGTGCTAACCTCCAGAACTTGACCGTACAAATAATAAGCCTCCGCAGATCCACTGAAGATTTCGTAGTGAAATAGATGCTCTAGAAACTTTTGAGCAGGAACAAAGTGTTCCTTAGTCATATGTGCTTGAGGAATAAGAAGATACGACTCTTCATCATCTGCGGTAGGTTGCCTCTCATTTAATTTTTCAACTAAACCCTGGAACCTATGAAAGTTAAGTGAGAAGTTTTCGACAGGAAAAAATATTTTCAGTCGCATAAAAACAATTAAGCAGTTTCTATTACTTCAAAATAAAAAAAGTATATTACCATAGACTCCTCTAGAAAGATCACTAGCAAAGTAATAAAGCAAAAATATATTATACCAAAAAAATATATAAATTATATGTTCTAAAAAACTTCTTAAAAAATGTTGTCAGAAACCGGTATCAAGTCTGAGCGATCCATTCTAATGAAGCAAACTATCAGCCTCGCCAGAAGGTACGTTCCCAGAGAATCACCAATCACATATTTGTGTACTTTAGCTGGAGGGAACGGTTTTATTGTGTAGCCAGCATTGTCATATTTGATCTGAACAGATAACAAGAAACCTGTTTTTAAAAGGCACTCCAGCATAAGGCATTTTAAGATCCTACTCAAAATGACACATTTGTACTAAACCATAGCTAACTACCAAAAAATTACTTCGAAAATGAATTTGCCATTGTCGTCTAATGCTGTAATTCCCTGACACAGTGCGAAAATAGACTTTGCTGCGTCTTCAAAACGACCTTTGCTCATCCACATACCTTAAAAGCGCTAAAAAATTTGTCGCAACAAGGAAAGCTAATAAAACTAAATTCCTCAAAAAATTATTTTATACCAACTAGGGTGTGATGCTGCGCCTCAGCATCTTTACCAAACTCGCGACTCCTCAAAACAAATGCTTCTAGAGCCTCTATTGCTCGAGATTCAACATTACACTCTATATAATACTCTGCTACCTGGAAACAAAAAATATTTTCGGGCGACAATTACTGTCTACTTTCTACTACTAATTACACTGAGCACAGAGCGATTTTTACAAAAAGAAAAAAAGAAATGAAAGATTTCACAAAAAGTAATACAACAATAGCTGAAGATACAACTGAAACTACACGTACCGATTTTATAAGAGCCTGGAACCAACTAAAATCAAGATTAGCGGTTGAATGGTCAATTTGCTGAGCAGCCTGTAAACGTGTTCTCATAGCCAGAGGTCTCAGCCCAATCTGATCAAGCAATATAATTCTTTTTTCATAGTACGTCCAATCGGTTGGCTCTATACGAATAGCTAAAAATGCCAGCTGACATCAAAATGTGACGGCATTTCGAAACTAATTCAAATTTTTCAGGCTTAGAAAAAACCAGTCATCTTGTAGTACTTCCTCGCAAAAATGAAATTAATATTTATTTATAAACAAAGATGCAAAAAAAGTTTAGATATAATCCTTAATTTACAAAAACTCACATACCCCTTCCATAGCATGCAGCTGCTTCTTCATTTCTACCAAGCTTACACGCAAGGTCACCTAGCTCTGACCACTCTGCAGCTGTTGTTCTGCTAGAGAGATGCGCAGCTAACAACCCATATTGCAAACACTCGTGCAGTTTGTCAACCTCTCTATAAATATCTGAGACTTGCTTGTAAGGATCCGGATTCCGTGGTTCTTCCCTTATAGCCTGAGCAATTGATTGAATTGCAAAATTATAATTGGATTTGGAAAGAATAAGAACTAAAGAAACAAAAAACTTGAATAGCTTATGAATACAACAGTAAACGAGGCAGTTCAAAAAGCATTTAAGCAAAAAATAAAATTAAAAAATGTCAATAATGTGTTTAAAATAAGGTAAAGTATTATTAATAGCTGACAGTCTCTATCTTTTTTATAAAAATGAAAGGGTCTCTTCGGAACCTCAAGAAGTAGAATCCGGGCTTGAGCTTTCTCCCCACGAGCGTAAAGCACGTTCGCTTGCCCAATCAAAGCGTCAACAGCTCTTAAAATTCAGATAAGAGTAATTTGGAAACTCCTCAGTCATAAGATAGCGACATGACCTACTTATTCGTTTTCCGACGATACGAGCTCTCTCCCAAACCTCTAATTGGGGTAACATCAGACTGATACGGTGTGTCATTTTTGCGTAATTCTAGCGGGATTCCAAGTAGAAAAGTTTCATCAACTTCGTCTTCAAAAGAAGATTCCTCAGGACTTTTGTAATCCAGGAACTAAAAAAATTAATTTAGACACTTGTCTGAAAAATTAGCAGAAGAATTTCAGCTAACTCAACATGATAACGAATCAACCGCCGTATACGGACAATTTGGTCCATTTACAAAGCTTCTGACATATTGGTATCCTAAAACTTCCTACTACCCCATCAAGAAACCGTGTTAGAAACCAAAGAAATAAGGAGAAAAAAGTCAGTGTTGCAAGAAAAGGGATAAAAAAGTTAAACATGCCAAATTCCCTTGTCGCCTAATTCGAGGAGGTGGCGGGAGAGAATTTGTAGGCCTCTTACGCTTATTCACTTTACTAGAATCGAAAGGGTCGACAATACCGTCCGCTGATTTTTGTTTTCTAAAAGCAAATAAATAAAGAAAATACAAAAAGAAAAAAAAAAAAAACCTAACGTTCCTTACCTCCGACCTGTTTTAGTAGATGTTTCTGCTCTACAGCCTAAAAAACTTGATTTTTTTGGTAATGCAGAGAAGTAGACAGAAAAGACGTATAGTAATAAAAATTAAGACCTACCATCATCACCGCTGTCTTCAAACCCAGCAGCTTCATCGTCTAAAGTTGCGCAACCTAAAAAAAAAAGTAGAAGAGTGACTGCTGCGAGAATAATTTGAACTGCTGTGCATTTCTCTAGACTACACCACCAAAAAGAAAGAAAACAGAATAAAACTTTAAATATTTTACTTTGAATCATACTTACAAATAAACAAAAGGAAAATGAACAGCGCTAAATGAAGTGAATCAAACGCTAAATTTGCCTGTTATTTGCATGAATTCGTCAAACTCATCCCTCATATATCGTTCAAGTGTATCATTGTAATCAGATGTCAGTAATTCTGCTGCATGAATACCAGATGGTCCAGGGCTATCAAAGGACACAATTCCTTCTTCAAAACTTTGATCAACTTGACGAACCTCATCAACCTCAGTTTTCGTTGCCTGATGTTCCAGAACTAAAAAAAAAAGCGAAAGTTATTGACAGAAATAACACTAGCAATTTACTGCAAAGAAAAGGAATTATTTGTTTAATTAAATTCTAGTATCAGACATAGTCACTGCTTAAATACTGTACATTACTGTTAACAAAGTATCAAATTCATTACAATCAGCAACATTCAACTGGACACTATCCCGGTGGACACGCATCGGTGTTAAATCAACAAATTCTGCATTATCATCCATAGTTATACGATTTTACGGTTACACTTTATTAGTACCAGTATACCTGCAAGCAAAATTATTTTATAATTACATCTATAAACACGAACATGCACATTACACTGCGTAAACTCAAAGATATATTCTGTGTGGTAGGTGTTAAAACTGTTTCCGGTTCAAATTAAAAATACATCAAAACATCATTTTAGTTAACATCATATGATGTATACATATTTACAAAAAAATCTATCTCACTCATTATATATATATATATATATATATATATATATATATATATACGTATATATATATATATATATATATATATATATATATATATAGGTATGAAAGATAAAATACGTTGATCACTGGCTGTTTAGTGTCAGTAGGTAAAAGCTTATAAAGTTCAAGCTTTATCTTTTTCTTTGGTGGAGGAGAAGGAAAAGAAAAACAGATTTTATTTTGGCGTGAAACCTCAACAATAGTAGTTATGACAGCTGATATTAGTTTTCAGGAGAAAATGTTCGCATCAAATTAGTGGGTCAATTGTTCCTATGAAAAAGATATGAAAGGGAAGCGTAAGTTAGGGGTTCACGTTTCATACAAAATGATGCAAATTACAAACAAATATGAAAAAGTTATGAGCATCTAGAAGAATCAAAGAAAAGTTCATGGAACAGTTTGGTGGTATATTATGGATGAATCCCTGTTGTATGTTTCCCTTTACCGACAATTAAGTTGGCGCTTGAAGGAACAACTTTTTTGGCGAAGTTCCAGTTCAGTGAACGTCACCTCGTAAAGTGCTATTTTCTTGTCCCCTTATATAGGCGCCGTCATTTCGCCTATAAAATCCGCCTATAGTTGTATAGACGAAACTTTGCAGTTGTAAACTTGTGTTCATTCATTACCCAGCTGATTCAGATGGAATTTGTACAAGTCTCTTTGTTTCCATATTCTTTTTCACTTCTAGATGTCCAGTAGTGGTATTCATACATTATGAAAATAAAAAAAAATTTTTTTTTTTGGTACATTGCCATGCAGTTCCAACGTTTTCTGTTAATCTGAACCCAATGTCTATATATATATGTATA